AACTCTACCACTACTATAAATAAGTATACTACATATTTATAAATCTACCACTACTACAAATAAGTCTACATATTATAAATCTACCACTACCACGAGTATAAATATATCTACCACATATTATAAATCTACCACTACTATAAATAAATCTACCACTACTATAAATAAGTCTACCAACTAAAGGTTGTTTAGTAAAGACGTGAAAAAATTGAATAAATCTACCACTACAATAAATAAATCTACCACATATTATAACTCTACCACTAGTATAAATAAGTCTACGATTGCACGAACCATCAATAAGTCTATCGATCACAAAATAACTCTACCACAACTACTAATAAGTCTATAACTCAAAAATAAATCTACTACTACTGTAAATAAGTTTACGATTGCGCGAACCATCAATAAGTCTACCGATCACAAAATTAACTTTACCACCACTAGAAATAAGTCTACCGATCACAAAATTAACTCTACTACTACTACAAATAAGTCTACCATATTTTATAAATCTACCACTACTATAAATAAGTCTACAATTACGCGAACCATCAATAAGTCAACCGATCACAAAATTAACTCTACCACTACTACTAATAAGTCTATCAGTGAAAAATAAATCTACCACTACTATAAATAAATCTACGACTGCGCGAACCATCAATAAGTCTACCGATCACAAAATTAACTCTACCACTGCTGCTAATAAGTCTATCACTCCAAAATAAATATACCACTACTATAAATAAGTCTATGATTGCGTGAACCATCAATTAATCTACCGGTCACAAAATTAACTCTACCACTATTAGAAATAAGTCTACCGATCACAAAATTAATTCTACCACTACTATAAATAAGTCTACGATTGCTAACCATCAATAAGTCTACCAACAACTTAATAAATCTATCAATCGCAAATAAATTTACCATCACATGAACGGTAAACTTATTCGATGTTTCATTAATAGCAGTTTCGTAAATACGTTTTTTGAGTAATTATGAAAGATTAGCATCATTTTGGTCAAAAAAACTATTTTTCAAAGTTGTTTTTGTAAACTTCCCTTGTTTATATTTAAGTGTGTACAAATTTTAAAGTGGATATAAAACCTTAGACATCTTAAGCAAACGTAGAACACACTCATTAATAGAAGAATCGAAGCCTAGAACAACAAAACACTATCTAATAAAAATGTCCTGCGTACGGTTAATGCAAGGTTCGGCCAATGGAATTTACAAGAAAAGCTTATATGTAATGAGCATTTTGAGTTAAATTCTCTAATAGGTTAAAACACACTCATTAATAGACAAAATTAAATTTGTTTTCTTCCCCTGAATAGACGACCTAATTTGTTTTCTTACCCTAAATAGTAAATAGACAACTTTATTATAAGTAAAAGCAAATGTTGAAGATTTGCTCCAATTGGAGGATTTCTTTGCATTAAAAACCAAATCAGACCAGAAATTAAAA